AATCTTGGTCTTTTCTTTTTTTTTTTCTTTTTTCTTTTTTCTTTTTTTTTCGCTTGAAAAAGACATAGTGTTATTATTTAAAAAACAAGACGAAAAAGGAAAAGAATACATGATTTTACACGACTTGCGAGGTTACTTTCTCCGAATTCATTGCAAACCTTATGCGCGCAAGTATGTCAGCCTTTCGAATATCGTTGCGAACGAGTTTCATTGTGCATTTGTCGTAGATTTATCAGTAAATGAACATACATAGCGGAGAATCCAAACGACTACGAAATGCATATATATGTATACCTGATTTCTAACTATAAATTTTCGCTTCTCATTCTCACGCAAATTTTTTCGAAATCAAAGGGTGTATTATAAAGGAACGAGTTAATCATTCTCAATTTTTTGTTTTTAAGAAAATCTACAATATTTTTCGGCATAAAAATCATATAAACAATAGCCACTATTATAATATTTATAAAACGACAAGAGAGTAAATTATTGGACCAATGAATAATTTCAGAATTTGCAGTATTTTACATTTAAATAAAATAATGACAACATTTAAATAAATAACATTAATATAACGGCAATAGTGAATTATTGTATATTGGACAATTAATCATTTCTAAATTTTCAATAATTTATATCTAAATAAATAGCACTAGTATAACGACAATAATAAATGATAAGACCAATTAATAATATCAAAATTATTATTATATATCTAAATAAAACAACAACAAGAATATATGAATAAACAGTATTAATATAAGAACCAAAGTGATTTTCATTAAATAGATTGTGGTTATTATTTAAATGTGAACTTTTGTTTAAATATTTTAAAAATTCCGATAATATTTATTGGTTAATCTTTTATATTTTATACATACACAGACACATATGTAAAGATATTTACTATTTGTTGCAAAGAGAAAAATGTCCTAAAATTGTCGTTGCATACATTACACGTGCAATAGGACTGGTGCAAAATATCGAACGGTGGTACATAGCTTTGAGCATAATCGTCTTGCGCACCTGCGTTTACCTTGAACTTTGCTGCATCCGTTCCGGTTCCTCCTCTATCATACTGAAACAGCCAGGGGCACATGAGAATTATATTATAGCGTTAAGTGTAACACCACAGATAAGAATAACATTTGCATCGCCTTTATAAAATGTACAGATGATAAATTTGTATTAACTATGTATTTACATATTTATGTATTTTATGTATGTGCAAAAGTATTTCTTTTTCTTTATAAATAAAATAAAAATTCATTCGCGGCGCAAGTAACAATGATAGTTCGTTAGCGAGAAAATTATAATTAACATTTATTCGATTCAATTTCAATTTATAGTTAAGTTCGACACGTGATAAAACGTTATCACCTACCGAGAGTGATTTAAATGCCTGGATGATAAAGTTCCACCCACTCGAATACGCTTGTTATTATTTTACCCTCAAAGCTTCTCTCTAACATAAAAATATCAAGCAATTATCCCAAGAGATAATTATATACAAGTGATCTATTTTCATCATCAGGAAATTCGTGCCTATTATACTTAAAGAGATTAAAATCTTCTTTGTTTTTTTATGATTAGAAACATATGATTAGATAAAATAAAAATAGTGACATACCATCTAACGTCATGTAAAAGATAAAAAATATTTATCTATCTAAACAGAGCGAAGGGGAAAGGAGGAGACAGGGAGAGAGAGAGAGAACTCTTCTTCGAAATCGAATAAAAAGAAGAGTAAATAAGTGCCATCATTCATGCGTCGCTAACGACATCGATCGGGGACACTTAACCTCGGCGAATGCTAACAACCCCATTCTCGTGGCCGACATAACTATTTTTTTTCTCTCTTTTCCTTTTTGTAGTTTAATATACACTCTTCGAATTTCTATTACGTTCGCCTATACCCGAGTTTTTGATACTTGACAATGAGAAATGATCAACGTTCTTCTTTTTCTTTTTCTTTTTCTCTCTTTCTCATTCTTATGGAGAGAGTATATGAAGTATACTTGAAGCATACTTTATGAGATGATCTTCAAGGAAACGACCTTGCCTGAAGGCAGGCTGATCTTTCGTTAGAAAAAGTCAATTCGGTATGCTTCTTCTTCTAATCTCAACAATTCTATGTTTCTCTATGTTCGAACATAGAAAGAGAGAGAGAGAGAGAGAGAGAGAATGAATGTGCGTGTGTATGTGTATGTATATGAGGACGGCGTTGGCCGATCGGTCGTCGCGGTGCTCGATCAATATGCTCCGTTTTCCCGCATCGAGGACGCCTGCGCGGCCATCGGAGCCGAGCCGCAAGGTAGGCCGATCCGGGAGCCGAGAGAGCCACGAGTACGCACGACAACGGTGATTCGAGTTACGGTCAGGAGCTAGAACAAGCTAGAGAGTTAGACAAGCGAGTAGCAGTACCAGCACTAGCAACAGTAACAACAGCAGGAGAAACAGCAGCAACAGCAGCAGCAACAGAACAATACTAATAACAAGCAGTAACAACAGCAACAACGTAGACAAAACAATTATAATACGGGATTGTATCCTCCGCACGTACGGTGTGTGTATGTGCGTGTGCGAGTGTGTTGAGAAGAGGTTTAGCACCAGGCACCATCGTCGGTACATTAATAACTTCGTCGAAGTTGAAACGTCGACGATTGTCAACGATTGTTCAATAGAAAAAAGACGCAAGACGTCCTTTTTCTGATTATTTATCTTTCTCTCTCTCTCTCATCTCTTTCTCTCTCTCTCTCTCTCTCTCTTTCTCTCTTTCTCTTTTTCTTTCTATTTCTCTTCTCTCTCTCTCTCTCTTTCAATCTCTTTCTCTTTCTTTCTCTTTTTATGTTACCCCTTTTCTTTCTCTCTCTCTCTATCTTTCTCAATCTTTTTTTATTCTGATCCACTCCGTGAATCTTACTTTCGCGTTTGGAAAACGCAAATATCCTAATCGTTGGTTAAACGTCGAGCCGGGTCCAACAGCGATCGAGATCGCATCCTCACCAACGGCAGCAACAGCAACTGTCGCAAATCACGACTTATGCGTCTATACCGAGCAGGTAACTTCTTCGATCTCGAATCCACCATCGTCGACCCCAATAACATAGCACTCAGTTGTTTCTCATGCCTCCTACTTTGCTACTTCTCTCTCTCTCTCTCTTTCTCTCTCTCTCTCTCTCTCTCTCTCTCTCTCTCACTCTCTCTCTCTCTCTGTATTTTCATGTATATGTATCGTTCTTCGATCGAAGCAACCATCTTTCCCCTCCTCTTCTTCCTCTTCCTCTTCTTCCTCCTCTTCCTTCTCCTTCTCCTTCTTCTTCTCCTTCTTCTTCTCCTTCTCCTTCTCCTTCAAAGTACATACTTATTTGGCCTGCCATTGAATTTTGTTATCCAAGAATTTCAAAGGATCTTGGTTGGAAGGGATCGATTGATGTTAACAGCATCCTCATGATGATTCCTCAGATGATAGACAATTATGTCGTTCCTATGATATCGATCTAAGGAATAGCACGTTGATGTAAACTCTGTTTCTTCCGTATTTCGATAATGTGAATATTATAGTAGATATAATCTGAAATAGCAAATATTCAAATAAAATGGTATCTTCTTTTTCTTTCATCTTTAAACAAATTAATTCTTTTTTCTTTTTTATCTATATTTCTTTCTTTATTCTTTATATATATTTATATATATTTATGTATGTATGTATGTATGTATGTATATATATATATATATTATATATATAAAATAAGGCATGCTTTGAAATCTTTTGTATTATTTAATTAGCAAATAATATCTTTAATAAAAATAACGAATTTATCGTTCGTTCGATTAACGTCGAGAACGTCGTAATTGCATATGATCGATCGATATAAAATAGCGACTCCTCCGATCATTGTCCTTATCGCGTTTGCACGAGAGACCTATCTGAGAAGTTATAAGTACTATTGTTTGATGTTTTAAATTATTATCTTCGAGATGATAAAATTACATTTAAACTTTTATTATTATTCTTTTTCTTCTTATTATTATTATTATAATTTTTATAATAAAATTATAACGAAAGCAAAGCAACTACATACAAGTCAATAAAATCCATTCAGTATATATTTTAAGAACATTCGAATTAACAGAAAAACCAAAAATACGAAAATGTAAACGAATATAATAAAATAAAAACGAAATATGTATATACATAAATATATGCAATCGATACGCGTGTATACGTATGAACGATCCTTTAGAAACAAGATAAATCTTTCGATCATTGGTTACGAGCAAATTACATTCGTCTGTTATAATTTCATTTGTTCTTCTTTCCCAATAAACATGAAGTTCAGTTTATTACGTATTTCTCATCCGTCTCCTTCGAATCTTTCTTCGGTAATCGACCAATTTCATTAACGGACGCGTCCGCGTTTGATCTTTGCTATGATGATCCTGGCATGGCCTGCGTTTCTTGGGAATCATTCAGATAATCGTTAATGAGTCGATTAATAAATGAGTCAAACAGTGATTATTTATTGTCCCAAAATCCAAAACGAACATATCCGTAAAGACTAAAGAAAATAAAAGAAAAAAAAAATGAATGAATCATGAAAATCTTAACCGATGTTTCATTGCCCGAGAACTTTTAGCAGACCCTCATTTACAAGTCATCGAGACGAATGGACAAAGGATACTATTGAAAAGAAAAAAAGCTGCTTAACACACTTTCATTTATACCTCATTAATACGCTTGTTTAAGTAAAATAGAAAAATCCTGTTTAGGTATTCATAAAACGATCTGATATGTCATTGAATGATGCGACACTTTGATTCATTTCTTCTTTGACATAAGCTGATTAGAAAGCTAGGTATTTTATTATTGACTTTTTCCTTTTTAATTTAGATCTAAAAGTAACGAATAAAAGGAGCGTATATTTTAATATTATTAAAAGGGAAAGAATATGTGACGATTGATCATTCGTTTAAAGGATGTTTTTTTATTTTCACAGAAACATCCAGGATATCATCCAGAGAGAAAGGATCGGTGTACAGGAAAGGCGGCGGTAGTAGGACATCGTCCAAACGGTTTACAAACGGCAGCACCATCTCGTTCGTTCGGTGCAATCCTTTGGTAGGATCAAGCGGTGAATCGATCGCACCAACCTGGTTCCCAGGGATTCTTAGAGGCACGAGAAACGGACAGGCAGCGTGTATGATCATTGAAGAATATCCCCCTCTGCCCATCAAACCGAGGCAAAATCCGCATCAAGATATCACCCAACGATTTTTAAATCATCTGGTCCTGCCTAAACACAGGACCTCAAAATTTTCCAGGTTTGTAGAAAGAAACAGAGAAATAGAGAAAGAGGGGGGGTTGGGAGGGAAGAATACAATTTGTAAACTTTTTGTTATAGTATGAATATAGATATCACATTGTAACATTGATTTTAATTTGACAGTAATAGGCATCGGAAGCTACAACCGTTCAGAGAAACGTGACTATTGTCAGCGGGTAGAGCGGCATACCTTACCGCGGACAACGAAAACCATCCTGACTCGACACGTTACGAGCTACCATCGGGTAGCAATTGCTTGGCAACGTCGCTACACAGCAATCAAACTGCCGCTGGGAAACGTGAGAAGGAGGAGATCTAGAAGAACAAGGACGAAGACGTTACCCACTTGAACTTGAAAAGAGGGGCTAAAAGATTAAAGATAATCCATCCGAGAGTGATTCTAAAAAGGGGCCGTTTGAACGATCTAGGTTTGTAGATCAAGCTTTTATCACGATTCACCGTAACGTATTCACAACGACGGCTCATAGGAGGTTACTTCCATTGGGGAGGTTTCTGAAGCTTTTACTGCACAGGAAAACAGAACATCTATCAGAATGGGGAGCGTTAACGTTAATCGTAACGTCAGTGATGCGTTTTATCGTTATAAAATGCCCCGAATTCAAGCCAAAGTTGAGGGTAAAGGTAATGGCATAAAAACCGTCGTGGTCAACATGGTCGACGTTGCCAAAGCTATTGGAAGACCTGCTACTTATCCGACCAAATACTTTGGATGCGAACTTGGCGCGCAAACTCAATTCGATTTTAAAAATGAAAGATTCATAGTAAACGGCTCTCATGATGCTACCAAACTGCAAGATCTGTTAGACGGATTCATCAGAAAATATGTACTCTGTCCAGCTTGCGACAATCCGGAAACCGAACTGATGGTCAGTTCCAAAAAGGGAACCATCTCGCAAAGATGCAAAGCCTGCGGTCATCACGGCTTACTCGAAAGCAATCATAAACTTAACACTTACATCTTGAAAAATCCGCCCAGTTTGAATCCCGCGGTCCAAGGCAGCTCGCTCACTGAAGGGAAACGTGGGAAACGTTCGAAACGTACCAATGGTGAAACCGCTGCTACTACCAATGGTGATCGATCAGGATCTCCGGAAAACGAGACCAATTCTACGGACATCGTGGTTGAGGTTCCGGAAAAGATTGCTGATAACGAACAAGACGATGATAAGTGGGCCGTCGATGTATCAGAGGAAGCGGTTAGAGCTCGTCTTCAAGATTTGACTGATGGGGCAAAAGGGATGACGATTAGCGATGATCTTGATAAGACTGAAAAAGAAAGAATGGATATGTTTTACAAACTAGTTAAATGTCGTCGCGATGCTGGACAATTGGATAATCATAAAGAATTAATTACGGAAGCTGAACGCTTAGAGATCAAAACTAAAGCACCTTTAATTCTGGCAGAATTACTTTTCGATCAGTCGATAGCTTCTCAGGCCAAGAAGTACCGTGTATTGCTACTTCGTTTTACCCATGATGATATTAAAGCGCAGAAGTATTTGATCAGAGGAATCGAGCAAGTGATAGCTCTGCACAAAGATGCTCTGATGCCAAAAGTTCCTGGTATTCTGAAGGTATTATTTAATTTAAATTGATTAACGTTCTTATCAAAAACCATATTTAATATTATTAATAATTCTTTTAAAAACAATAATTTTCATTTTTTCTTCTTTTTTCTTTTCTTTTTTCTTTTCTTTTTCTTTCTTTTTTTTTCCTTCGGTATATATATCGTACATTTGGAAAATCGTTTCCTCATTTTGATTTGTTTTATCCAATTAAATGATGTTAAATCAGAGAAGATTTAAGATATGTCTAAAAAAAAAAATTTGTATTATCACGTAAAAAATGATGATCTCAGTTAATACAGTTTTATTGTTTGTTTTTTAGCTTTTCTATGATGCCGATATATTAGAAGAGAAAGCTTTGTTGGAATGGTCAAGCAAAGTTAGCAAAAAATATGTGTCGAAAGACTTATCCCAAGAAATACACGATAAAGCAGCTCCGTTTTTAACGTGGTTAAAAGAAGCTGAAGAAGAGGAATCAGAATCTGATGAGGAAGACGACGATTTAGAGGTGATTGATATTAACGATGATATATATTATTTTTTTCGTAACTGTACTTCGATTACGAATGATATATTTATTTCTCAGATTGAATACGATGATCGTGCAAAACAGTCATTTAAACCGCAGCAATCACCACCTGCTTCAACGAAACCTGTTGAAAATGATTCTGACGAAGAGGGTGATTTCGATATCGATGCCATTTAAAAAGAAAAATATGCTTTGTTGTCGGACATGGGAGTGTGAAAAAAAAGAGTATATGTCTGATATGAATAATCATTTTCTGTAGGATACAAAGAGTCGCGATTCAATGCAATGTCAGATCCTGTATAGAATTTTCTTAATTTAGGCCAAACAAGCAGTTACAATGCCATTATATCTAAAGAAATTTTATCTATTTTAAAGTTTAACATTTATCTATATAACAGTAATTTTTTTTCTTTTTTTTTTTTATCCTTTGATTATACTGATTATTATGTCATTACGTCTAATTATTATTCCATGAGATCGGCGGGATGCTCTTACAATTTAATATATGCATTACTTTCAGAATGGAAACATTTATAGTTTTTAATCATTATTGAGAAAAAAAAAAAAAAAAGAAAAAAAAAAGAAAAAAAAGTTGGCCTGCTAAAAGCGTTCTCTATTGTATCGATTTACTATTCTGATAATAATTATTCAAATAAATATCGTTTATTGCAATTATCTTTCTTTAATTATTTCATTTTAATAATCCACGTACCCCAAGCTTATGCGCTGCAATGTCTATAATGTATTAATTATTATAAATATAATCTTATAAAACAAAATAAATTTATTTTAATCGAACCACTTTCACTTTTTAAAACAAACGCTTGCAATTGATAATTATATTTAATATTATTAAATACATCTGTTTCCAATAATATTGCACTTGACAATATTTTCATACGATTTCAATTGGTTAATGAAATAACATAATGGCCAATGACGGCGTTACAGTTTATCAAACTTACTAAAAATAATATCGCTAGAAATCGACGTATCATTTAAATAGTTAATTACGCTTTCACTTACTGATTGGAGGAATAATAATAATAATAACAATAATAGTCATCGCACAAAAATCACATTGGAAGGAGAATGCCGGTTAAGAAAATATTTCTACGTATCAATTTTGATCTTTGTATTATGGTTTATGTAGTGACTAAGCGCTGTGGTCGCTTATCGTTGTTCTAGTTATAAATTCTTACGATTGGCGGACAATCGTGTTATCCGAAAGTTCATTCTAAAATCTTCAAGAGACAACTTAACGTTAATCATTTGATAGTGACTAATTAACAGTGAATTCTAAAGTATAGTTACGTTAATTCGTAATGCAACTCTATAGAATGGTGTAACTAAATATGTGATCATCATCGTCCACGTTCGACTATAACGAGAAACTCGCCATCTTAGTCAATCTTAAACCTGCGAACCGTGTCGAGTCGAAATCTCTATGGAACTTTTCTCTTGCGCTTTCGACCGTTTCGATACGGTTTTCAGGTAACAAAAAAAAGAAAAGAAAAGAAAAGAAAGAAAAAAAGAAGATACGTAGACAGTATTATCCTTGTGTTAACAGCTATTGTCTAATATTCACGTTGATATCGCGACCAGGCGAATGGAATTAATTTTATTTCTGTGTCTACGTTCGTCGTTGTGTACTACCAGTAACAATTCTTCTTTACCGAAGAGCGAACGGAAAAAAAACTTTGGATAATCTAAATCTTTAACTCGAACGTTTAACGTTCTAAAAAAATCTCTAAGTTCATCGATACGTCGTTGAAAGAGATCGAACAAAAATAAAAAAAATAAAAAAAAAAAATAAAACGAAAAGAAAAGAAAAGAAAAAAGAAAGAAAGAAAGAAAGAAAAAGAAAAAAGAAAACAACGAAGGGATCGTGATATTCTCTACAATAGTGGGATGATACATTGAGAGTGGAGGAGGATTCCTGCATGGACCGTTCTCAAGAGTAAGTTCAGTGTATATGTACATATACGTATGTGTCTTCGTTCTGTGAGTGTTTATATACATTTCTTTTCCCCTTATTCTTATCGTTTTTAATGTGCTTTTCGAGTATCGTTATTATTTTTTTTTCTTTTTTCTTTTTTTTTTTTTTTTTTTTTTTCTTTTTTCTTTTTTCTTTTTTTTAAGCATATACATTTTCGACACTAAACCTTTTGCGACTATAAACCATAGCCACGCCTTTTCTAAACGTACACAGGTGTAACCGGAAGTTAATACTTTTCGTTCGTTACACCTTGTTATATATTTCTGTAGCACTATTGACGGAAAATCATGTACCATGACCACCACGACTTGATGATCTTCGTTTCTTCTCTCGTAGAGTGGTGGTGCTGCTAACCTGCCGGCAATACTTTCCTTTCGTAAGAGTTTTACGAACGGCATACCATCGTATTCTTACACCTATGTATATATCTATGTCGTTCATCTGTTATATGACGATGTCTTTCAATGATTTATAATATCGTTTGATTGTTTATTATAAAAAGAAAAAAAAAAGATGGATCTTGTTCGCAGTTTATAATAATAACAATAATTTTTAAAAGATAACTTATCATTTGCCAGTAATGATGAAAGATGATTGAATTAAAAATTTATACTTTTCATAAAAGTATTAATTTTATCTCTTACCGAAGATGACTATAGTTCGACAGACAAAGTTCTATATGAATAAAAAGCATTATGGAAAGCACATTGACCTTTTCATCTGACATATTCATTTATAATTAATTGATATTATATTAATTTGATATAGCTCAAATAAAAAATCAATAATTTATATAATACAAGAAGTTATCGGATGTTAACTAATAAAGTTAACTGTGGACAATTCTTCTATGGTAAAAGGATTAAACTAACGGTTTAATAAAGAAGCGATGGACATAAATGTAATAAGATAAACGTATCACAATAGTATCATATGATGAATTTAAATGAGGCGTGAATGTATTTATTAATATAGTTTTACATCGATTACTAACTTTCACCCCATCTAAGGATCATATATATATATATATTATATATAAATTATATATATGTGTAATTATATATATATATATATATATATATATATATGTAATTAATTCTATTCAACTTATAAATTATAATATTAGTCATAAGATATTTGTCCATGAAACAATATACATATATATGTACGTAGATATATAAAGTACATATTTGACAAGTTCTTTGCGAATTATTCATTATTAAAAAAAAAAAAGTGGAGAAGATGAAAAGAAAATGATGAATATAAATCATTCTATAGTGTGTATATTGTACAAAAAGAAGAAAAAAAGAGCAATCCTCGATTGATCATTGAAACTAAGACCAATAAATTGCCAATGTGTCTCGTGGAGATAAATAACGTAATGCACTCTTTTGATCGTGACGTAAGCGTCCATTTTACTATAACTCTATACTCGTAGTGGATTGTTCGAAAAATGAGGTCGGATTGGATTGGTTCGGTACTCGAAAAAAATCTAAAACCTTGCAGAAATAAATTCAGTTTTAAAATGTAGAATATATATAGTTTGTATATGTATGTATATATATATATATGTATATATATATATATATATATATATATATATATATGTATGTATATATATATGAAGATGTTGCTAGTCTCTCCCATCTTTCTCGGTAAATCGTGTCGCGAAATTCTCGAGTGCTAAATTCGAGAAACTGAGTTTGCACACTAATAGTACAAGGCAGTAAGATTCTTAGTTTCTAACATGCGAGCACAGCACATGGCATATCATTCTCAATGCATCGAGTAAGTCATGCCATGACTCATCGACTACACCAGACGACTGGATCTCCCTCGTTGTTTGGAGGATTGCGAAAACGATCCGTTCTTGAATTTTTCACAGCTAAAGATACTACATTTTCACCGTGATCATAATATTAATCATCGCATAAAGTTTCAGGAATGAAAATGAAAGATCTTTTTTTTTTTTTTTTTATAAAAGCCTCGACGTTGTCTAATGTTTAGAATGCGATTAACATAATTTAATGTTCTCTTTTTATTTTTTTGCTTTTGCTTTTACTTTTGCTTCCATCTATACATTTTTGTTTTTTGTTTTTTTTTTGTTTTCTTATTGTGAGATACGTTCGATCAAGTTTAATTTCTTCTTCCTTGTTAACTTGGCACAAAAACGACGAGTCGCGCTCTCTCGTTTGATTTTATAAAGTGGATTGTAAGGGTTATTCTCCGGTAAACTCGGAAGAACTCACTCAAGTACAAAGTGCTTTCCAATTAGCACGGTCGAAGATAGAAACCGAACATTAAACATAGCCAGCCGAGCGTCGAAGTAGGACTGATGTGTTATATGAAAATAGCATGAGTTTCTTCGCGAGAAAAAAAATATTATTTTTAATGTAATGATCCGATTTATTAATCCTTTTGTTAATTTAAATTCTCATTGTTTCTCTTTCACATTAAGGAACAATTAAATTCTTTTTTTTTTTTCCTTTTTTCTTCTTTTTTTTTTTTATACGTTTATTATACGAATATACATTTCAAAGTGAAATCTCATATTCAGTTTACGAAAACGTAGCAAAGGTGAACACATTCTATGTCGATCGAATAAAGAGATTAAAGAGTGCATGTGTGTGTGTGTGTGTGTGTGTGTGTGTGTGTGTGAGAGAGGAGAGAGGGGAGAGAGGAGAGAGATTAGAATGGCTATAGGATTTTAGGTGAGATATATTTTCGCATGATGGAAGAGAGTTGGTTGAGCTTTAATCAATATCATGACGTCAGTATCAATTTCAGATTAATGTTGTCAGAAACGTAAGGCCATTCATCGATTACTTCAATTTGTTTTCTATTGTATCGATTACTATATCTCTCATTAATATATACATAGACACACATCAGTTACACGAGAATATCGGAATTTGTTCATGATAATTTTCAAAATCTAATAACTTAATCTTACAATTGAAGTTTTGGAAGATTTTTGAATTATGAGCCTCCTGTTTATATTATTTTATAATATAAATCGTGAAGCCGTTTCAATTTTCGTCGTCAAATATAATAACCGTGACACTTTTTCATCATATTATAATATTAATATTTTCTTTTTTATTATATCGACTTTTTATATTACATTGAAGAATATTGAGTTTTTTTTCGATTAGATTATTAAGTTGGCCAATAAGAATATCAGAATTTTTTAATACATTTTAATATATTTTTCTATTTTTTTCTTTCTTCGAATACAGCATTTCTTTATTTAGATATAAAATAATAAAAATTCCGACACATTACTTATTAACAAATCCAATATAATGTTTTCAGAATCGAATAATTATAATATTACTAATAAATTTGTTAATATGAAATGATGTATCATAAAAAAAAATTTTGAATTCTTTAGAATGATCACCCTGTTGAGAAAAGTATGTGGGGAAAAAAAAGGATTGTATATAAGACGTATGTCCCTCTAATCCCCTCAATGATTGCCCTTTACCTTTGGAAAGCTTCCCACTGACCAAGTAACGTTTTCATTGTCACATCCCCAAGTTGATTCTTACCAAAGGACAGGAAAAAGGCGGTATATTCTGTTTTGTACAAAACCGGTAGGCCATTCATATCGTTGCACCCTCTCGAAGGTTGCAGGAACGTTAGATTGCGTGTAACCCAGCCTATAGGAAGTCGACTATGAGAAGGGATATCGCGCAAGCGTATTTCTCTTATCCATCCCCTTGAACGAAGAGAAAGAGGGTGGGAAGCCAAAGCTTAACCCTCAGTGAGAACTTAAACGCGAGATCGCGCGGACGGTAAAGTCCAATCCCGTGATTAAAGATATCATGGGAAAATACGGATAAAAACATAATATATATAAACATATAGTAATATAATATATATTTTTCTATGTTCTAACGATAAATATTATTTAATGATTTTAACATAATTTAAACGTAATCGTTAAATTAATAATAGATTGGAAGGTTCGATGGTGACAATATCTTTCGTCGTTATTCGTGATCATTCTACTACTACTTCTGCTACTTCTACATCTTCTTCTTCTTCTTCTTTGCGAGAATAACGAAGAACAGAATCCGATTGTTACAGACAAAAAAAAATCTATCTTTTTTATACCAACGAATAGGTAAGGTCTGAAGAGAATCCGACATTACCGATGGGTAGAACACATATGTCAAAAACGCTGAACGCTTATAGAATGTGAGTAGATCGTTTTCTTTAACTAGTCCTTTTGTTTTTGATTGTATATTCTTTTGGAATATTTCATTTTATTAAGTTCTTCCTTTTACACACACACACACACACACACACACATTAACCTTTTGCATTTCTTTGTTGAGTATAGCTCAATATTTTTTAGAACGGCATATTAAAAATATTTTATTACAAAATTTTATATTTTCATTAATATAAACAATATGCAACAAAATATGTATCTTTTTTCTATATTAACAAAATGCATATATAATATATATATATATATACATATATGTATATATTCATTCATTTATTTATTTATTTGTGCTTATTTTTCCATTCAATTTCACTGTCGTCATCCGTCCGTTCGTCCGTCCGTCCGTTCGTTCGTTCGTTCGTTCGTTCGTTCGTTCGTTCGTTCGTTCGTTCGTTCGACCGTTCGTCCGTTCGTCCGTTCGTTCGTCCGTTCGTCCGTTCGTTCTCACTCGTGTTTCCTTACGTTGGAATGCGTCCCGTATTTCGTAGAGAAGACGATGAAAGGAAACACCATGTCGGTGGTCGGTATCATGCGGATTCACTACGTTTCCCTGCCAACCGTGTAGCGTCCTCGTCTGGGAAGAGAAAGCCGGTAGGATGGATGAATCCCAATGACGATATATAGTATCCGTCGAGTCTAACTAAAAATGTAAAACAAAAGATATCAAATTTTATCACACTTTCTCCTCTAACGTTCGTCCGAGATTTCAATAGAATTAAGTTATAAAAGGATTTAACTGACGATTTATAATAAATGAGAAAGTATATGAAAGATTGTAATATTTTTTTTTTTTTTTTTTTTTTTTTTTTTTTTATTACGAGCAAAGTCTCGGATCCATAGGATCAAAAGGTGATTGCAGCGCTGATGCAGCGCCAACATCCATCGTTCGAGTTTAAGCAGATTGAAAAAGATTTAAAATAGCTTCCATTTAAATCTCTGTTTAATCGTTCAATCGTTATTACGAGGAATATTCTTCTCTATTCTTAAAAATAGTTAAAAAAAGAATAGAAAAGAAGAAAATAAATTGATTAAAGTTAAAGAGATTAAAATGAAAAAATTACGTATCTTACGGTATAATTGTAATTATTCTTATTTAATAGAATTTGATATATTTATATAATATATCGTACGAATTGTTTAAAAGAAGTGAAATGGAAACAATGAAAAATGATAGGATTAGAAAAGGCCGATCAGTTACAACAGCGAAATACGCGAGGAAATAACCTTTGCGCAGTTTGATGCAATCGTATTATTTATTTATTTTTTTTGTTTTCCCCTTTTGTTTCTATAAGGAATTTAATCAAGCTGTTCAAAATTCGTAATAATAAACTATATTATTTAATAATAAACTATATTATATAATAATAAACTATATATATATTATTTAATTATTAAAGTAGAATTAAAATCAGAGTTCTAGGATTTACTCAAATCATGGTGGTCGAACAAACATACGAATGTTATTTTTAATTTTCCTTAATATATTATAGACAGGGAGGAGGACAGGGTAAGATAGGGAAAAGACTATGGATTTAATCAGTATTTTATATCTTTTAAAAAATTATTTTTTAAAACATCTTTTCATACTTTAGATCGAATAAATTTTTACGGTTAGATATTAATATCTTGATTTTCACGCGTCCCAGACACGTTTTGGGTGAATGCACAAGAAAAGCAGTTTAAAAAGAAACGGGATATCTAACGAGAAGAGAGATCTTTCAATGCAAACTCATTACCAGACAGCCATTTTTAATCTTTCTTTCGTTTTATTAACGGACGCTGACTTTTCGTCGAATTGTCGCATTTTGACGGTACTTTTTCAATGAAAGGTAAACCCCTCCGTGAGTAAAAAGCACTCTCCGTTTCTCTCTCTCTCTTTTTCTCTCTGTCTCTTTCTTTCTGTTTTTCTCACATGTCTGGTATAAAATAGCCACAGAATTTTTAGGAAAGCATAATCTCTTGTTGTTTATTAGGCGGGACAGGAGAGACTTGTTTCTTTTCTTTCTCTTTTTTTTTTTTCTTTTTCTTTTAAATAAGCACATATAAGTCTTCAATAAACGACTACTTTCGATCGATATTATCAAAACACTTCTTCCTGACATGTTACATAATCGATTTTCATTTATGGAAAATATGAATTATCCTGCCGTATTAAGTAATGTCAAAGAAGAAATTGCGTGAGGTCAAGGTTTATATAACAGGTGTAAACCAACGAAAACTGACCTTACGTTGCTACTAACAGAAGACATTCATCTATTCCTTGTATGTATAATACGTCTCGTCTTTCCTATCGATTACTCGTGCCGACTTGTGAATTGATCTCTCTATTTTCTCTTTCTCTCTCTATGTCTCTCTCTCCCTTTCTCTCTCTCTCTCTCTCTCTCTCTCTCTCTCTCTCTCTCTCTCTCTCTCTCTTTTTTTCTCAGTTTCATTTGGAATTTTCTCTTCGATATAATACGAGGTCTATTTCTCTTTCTCTTTTCTTTTTTTCCTACGCTTTCCTAGCTCTTTCATGTCTCCATTCTGTCTCTGCTCTGCGTGTGTGTGTGTGCGTGTGCGTACGTGCGTGTATGTGTATGATGTATGTATGTATGATGTATATATGTGTATGTAATGTATAGATACATAAATGTATGTACGTATACATGTACATATATCTGTGTATACTGCGTCGCATAAGTGCAAGGCAGCGGAGATGTTGCGCTTGCGTGGAAGTATTGAGCCATTGATTTCCGTAGCTTTAACGCGCGGCCCTGACATGGGGTAAGTTCCTATCTAGATTATTTTTCTTATAATCGTACTTTTACCAAGACACTTCGGTTATCATCTTAGTTCGATAACATCCCATTTCGAGGTACAAATCGTTTGACATTTTGAAATTTTTCATAATTCCTTTTCCCTTAAAGTTTCGACCTTCCGAACGATGATTGTCTTTCGCTGGACTCGCAAACTACGACGAGGTCTACTGCGCTCTCTGTCACTCTGCCTTTGTCTTCTCTGTCTCTCCTTCGATATTTCGTTCTGTCTCTTTCTTCCTCTTTCTCTCTTTCTCTCTTTCTTTTTCTGTTTTTGATTCTGATTGTTCTTTTTCTGAATTTTCTCATACTTTCTTTTCTTTACACCGATCAAAAATACTTGCGATTTCCTATTTTTAAATACGGTTAATTACCGGCATGTAAAAGAAGCGTTTACCTCGACCGAACCTGTTTTTGTGCGTGGTAGCTTAATCACATAATGTCGTTTCCTCAGTAAAGGACGTCCGTCGATTTATTTGTAGAATGAGTCAAGATTTGATGTAGTGTATATATTTCTTTAAGATCTTTGCTTTTTTATGTACCTCATTGTGATAATTTTGAAAAAGTGTTATATTGAATCGTAATTGCTGAACAATTGCTGAATTAAACATGATTCAATATTGTTTGTGTTAAATTAATTAAAACTTCTTTCGATCTTTGCATAGTATTTTCTACGTTTAACAGAGTATGTATATTTCTTTTATATTAGAATGTTCTTTTATATTTACAGCAAAAAAATAGAAACTATTGGCAGGATGACGGCCATGACGCAGGAAGAAATAATAGCTGGGGCACGTACAGTGGCCCAGGGATTGGAGGCTCTCCGTGTAGAACACAGTGGTCTATTACAGGGATTACAATCGCAGGATGCACCAGCTGCACGAGATAAAGCCAATCTGTTATCGAAGAACATCGAAATGATAGAATTGGGTTTAGGAGAAGCTCAAGTGATGATGGCATTAGCGAGTCATCTGCAAATGGTAGAAGCAGAGAAACAAAAACTTAGAACTCAAGTTAGAAGATTGTGTCAAGAGAATGCGTGGCTGAGAGACGAACTGGCAGGAACACAACAAAAATTACAAGCTAGTGAACAAGCGGTAAGTTTTCAAATATATGTAAATGTCTATAATATATCTATAAAAGATAAGTGTAAGAGATAAGAATATCTATAAGAGATAAGCGTCAAATCGAATCAATTTCATTTCATAGGTTGCTCAACTGGAAGAGGAAAAGAAACATTTGGAATTTATGACCAGTATGAGACAATATGATCCTGATCCTTCTGCAGATGATGAAAACGCTAAAGATAGGCCCAAAGATGATCCTGTAGTTGATTTGTTTCCTGATGATGATGCTGATGACCGAAATAGTAAGTGTATGTATTCTTTTTCTTTTTTATATTACGATTGTACGAGCCTGTTTGTTTGCTTTGTTTAATAAAATTTCACGTTGATGTCTATAGCAATATCACCTACACCGCCATCACAATTCGCACAGCAAGTCAATGCTGGATATGAAATACCAGCACGTTTGCGTACTCTGCACAATTTGGTAATACAATACGCGAGTCAGGGACGTTATGAAGTAGCTGTACCTTTATGCAAACAAGCATTGGAAGATTTGGAGAAAACTTCCGGTCATGATCACCCTGATGTTGCAACAATGTTAAATATCTTGGCATTGGTATATCGAGATCAAAATAAATATAAGGAAGCAGCTAACCTTTTAAACGATGCTTTAGCTATAAGGGAGAAGACGCTTGGTGAAAATCACCCTGCAGTTGCAGCAACCTTAAATAACCTTGCAGTTTTATATGGAAAGCGAGGAAAATATAATGAAGCAGAACCATTGTGTAAGAGAGCCCTTGCAATTCGAGAAAAGGTTCTTGGATATGAACATCCAGACGTAGCTAAACAATTAAACAATCTTGCGTTATTATGTCAAAATCAAGGAAAATATGAAGAAGTAGAACGTTATTATCAGCGGGCTTTAGAAATATATGAAGCAAAACTTGGTCCAGATGATCCTAACGTAGCCAAAACGAAAAATAATCTTGCTTCTTGTTATTTAAAACAAGGCAAATATAAGGGTGCCGAAATTCTATATAAACAAGTATTGACTAGGGCACATGAAAAAGAATTTGGTGCTATTGATGAAGATAACAAACCTATTTGGCAGGTATATAAATTTAGAAATATTTTCAACTTTCATAAATATTTTCATGCTTTTCTATATCGATGGAAAAGATAAATATTTTTTATTTATATCTAAGGTTGCGGAAGAACGAGAAGAAAATAAACATAAAAATAAAGAAAATACTCCTTATGGTGAATACGGTGGCTGGCATAAAGCGGCTAAGGTCGATTCCCCAACGGTTACAACTACATTGAAAAATCTTAGTTCCCTATATAGAAGACTAGGCAAATATGAGGCTGCAGAAACTCTTGAAGACTGTGCCTTCAGATCAAGAAAAGAGGTGAGTTAGAAATTATTTTCTTATTACAATTTAGCATAAAATCTTTAACTGCATTTGTTGATGAAACGTTCCTGTTTATTTTACACGCAGCATGTACAGCAGGTGAGCAAGCTATTCAAGGGATATTCTTTCTTAATATTTCTTTATATATATATATATATATATATATATGTATATTTATATACATATCTTATTAATATCTAAAAGATATCATAAGTACTATTTACTAGCAAAGTTTGTTTAGTAAAAGATATTTATCATTCCAAGTTGAATTTATATAATTTTTATAGAAAGAATTTATTCAGAAATATGAAGTTTTTAATTTTGTATGCACCAATATTATGAAGTCTTCATTTATATTTAAATATTGTACTTTTAAATGTTCCTTTGTCGAAATAGTTCTTATAGTTACTTATTTGCATACTATAAAAGGAAAAAAAAATTTTTTTTTCTGTATTTAGGCATTAGATCTAGTGAAACAAGCTAAGGTGGCTCAAATATTAGGAGATGAAAAAGGAACTACTAGACGTGGATCACGATCGAGTTTGGCTAATAGCGAACACGAACAACACGACGAGGTGGGTTGTGTTAAGACAACTTAAATCATCGGTTGCACTGCATGTAGTAGCACACCATTAGTTGTCTACTATCCTTTTCTTCTTTCTTTTTGTTCTTTTTTCGTTATCCGGCCCGTTGTGACGATTTGGCGATACAACACACAATCACAGGGTTCGCTGCCACTGGTGCAAAGGGCGCTACATGAAGGACAATCTGGCCACCACGACGCTAGTCCTAACAAACCCGGTTTTAAAAACAAGATCTTTCAAGCTTTCGGGATTCATTCTTCCACGTAGGATAATTGTCCGTTTGTAGTATCGCTTGTCACTGATTTTTCCCTATATGTACGCAGATTTTAAAGTACTGCTGAATATCTATATTCTTAGGAAAGGAGGGCAATTGAATATTAAGGGGATCCTTATTTTAGGTATCCTTTAACTTCACACAATTATCACATTGTGTTCTAAAATGCTGAAGAATACTATAATCGTGCGATATATGTCTCTCGTAGAGTTTGTCTTTTTAGGGACATGTACAACTGGCTGTACACGTGTGTTTCTCTGTGCTTCTCGGAATTGAATATAATTTCATTGCACATGCATAATTTTGAGAAGAGAAACGTCAGTACCTTTTCTTCTATAATCTGCAATGTATTATCAAAATACAGTGCAATCAATTTTCATCGTTCACATCGGATATACATTGTAGAAAACAATGAAGCGTTATTAATCACTTCCAATCTTTAACTGTGATAACGCCTTGTGTTTATTTTTTTAACGTAAATATGAGAAGATCATAAATAACGTTTTAAAAAGATATTTTCAATCGAAGGCGCTTGATATGATATAATATATATTTGATTATTTTAAATTATGTGTCTTATAGAAATACATTACTATAAATTTTACGCTTGTATTCGATCGCGAGAATATTTGTAATATCAATAATTATTTGAACCGCTTATTCTCGTAAAAAGTAACATTAAATATGTCACTTACATTTCACGCCTTATGCTTCCTTAATGGAAAAATTTAGAAGTTCTATTTTAATGTACTATTAATTTTTAACTTCTATTAAGAATAATTTTACTATCGATAAGAGATATTAAATTATTTGTTACGCATTATAACCTTATTATCTCTGTGAAACCAAAAGTAGTGTGCAATGACACACATGTGGTGAAGATAGAAGTTTTTAGTAACAGCTTTGCTCAACTATATAGCTTGGTATAGATTAGCAAAGATAATTTATAAAAATTAGAAAATACGAACCAAATGAAGTTTATGGATTTTTACAAATAATTTTATATTTATTCATTTTATATTTTGATGAATTTCATCTTAATCTCGAATTTAGGTATTCCATTACATTTGGAAATGGTTGGTTCTTCCCTAAACTCTGAATTCTTCAGGAAATTATTTTTAAATCTTCATACAATAACATTGCAATTTCATTTACAAGTTTTACCTATTGACATTGTCACAATTGTATTTTGTTAACTATCTTGTGATATAAGGTGTCTCGAAATTATTTTTGTATTCCCGTGTATTTAAGATATTAACTTATGTGTATAATATAAAGAAAATATTTTGTGCAATTTATTAATTTAACTATATATTTTTCATTCATATGATAATATAGTTGAAAATTTGTCTTGCCTATAGTTTATAAAGATCTCAGGAGAATACATAAAAAGAACTATTTCTTCCAATTGTTATTTATTCGAGACACCATATACCGAGTTCTGGTGAATGATATCGATATGATAATATCTTATACTATCTTTTTACTTTCCTATAGGTAGGATGAAACGCTGTATTATAAATTAATTCTTAGTACTTTTCTTTAATTTATCACTTACAAACATGAGTAATAAGTAAAAGTAGTGCCTTGATACTTTAATAAATAAAAAAATAAATTATTTTCTAACAGAGTAATTTAATTGTTACTTGACTGACATCGTATAATATTTAATGGCTCTAATAGAGCATATTAATATTCGTAGGAATGTTATAAAGAAAAGTATAGTTACACCCTGAATGGTGTTATTAATATTTGAGTTACATGCATTTTGTTTCTGTTTTGTATGAAGCTATACAAAGGAACAATTCTTGTATGAAAACTTTTTGTATTATGATAACTAAATCTTGCATTAATTTTCCTCGCACGCATTTGTGTTTAACCACACTGTTCTACTATTTTGGAATATCTGCGTTGTTGTTTTGTTTCGCTTTGATTTGAGTACTGCAGGCCAGAACTTAGGTATGGATTGCACTGGAATATATGACGCCTGGACATCAGAGAAAAGATATCATGGCATAACAAAACAGGTGCGTATTTGTAGAATTGGATATTTATTGTTTCTTCATTAATGCACAAGTTATAAATTTTCAATTTTTACTTATGTTTTGTTTGCATTTTCCTTCTATTTTTCTAGTATTGCAGACCTGTTTTTTAACACCAATGAGAAGAGCTTATCTGTTAGATATTATTACTTTATTTGGTAGATACGAATTATTAATCACTGTTCTTAATGTTCGCTGTATTAAAAACTAAATTCTTCTTTTAAAATTTAATATATTATAAATAATGCAGCCAAATCCTTTTGAGTACAGTGATTAATTATACTTTAAAATTGTGTTTGTTCATTGTATGCTTTTTTTAATGAAAATTATGATGTGCACATATAGTAGTTTAATATAAACAATGCATTTTTTTCAGCTATAATCACCTTCATAGCATAAATAGATCTTGAAGCATAATAGTATCAATTACTATAAATGGTGGTTTACAAGGTCCAAAAACACATTTTTTATATAAGTTCAGTGAAAACATTTTTACTACACGAGTTCATAGGTCATCATTTTACTTAAATTCTGCCTAGACTATTTATTAATTTAATATGTTACGAAGCCTTTGCCCCTTATATTTTTTAATAATTGTTATATTATAATAAAATTACAAAGCACACTATATTGTTTCTTATTTAATTTAGAAAATATTTTTTATGTGTTACAGGATCAGAAGTACTCAGTTCGTGCTCAATAAAGAACATGGTATAAGAGAACTGAAGTGATAAATATGAAGCGATTATAAGGGCTCTGCAATGTTTTTATCAAACATTGACTGATGTCCTGTGTTTGGGTCGTTTACATATACGGCACATTCCAGCTGCTTTTAATGAGATGCACTATGTGAAGTTCATTTTATTCAAACATTAGCTTTACATTAGCAATCGATTATTTGTTATAGCAGTTTCAAGGTAAATCGATCTACTCTGCTTAACATTTATCTGAATCAAAATGCAAGCTGTAATGTTGGTATACAAAAATAAGTTTTACTTTTCCTGCAAAATCAAAGAAAATATTGACAATGATACTGGCCAAATCCAAACTTTTGACAAATTTAATGAAATTATAAAATAATAATGAACATTATAATTAGTATTGGATTTCTATACATTTTTGATAGTTTTATGCACACATATCTTACATTATTCATACATGCCCTATATGACATTGCATAATCATTCCATAAACTAGCTTCAATTCAAAGCGAATCAGTGCTTTAGGGAATGTTTGTATGTCGCTTGAAAATTGGAATACATGTAGCATTACACTATGCACGTAGAATTATGTGAGCATACCGTCAATGTAGTTAAGGCTATCAAAGTGTATATTTAAAAAAATACAATGCCAGAGCATTTTGAAATATTACAAATTTAATGTCTGTATTAACTGGATTGGCATAACAATATACAACTTTAAAAATAAACAGATTTTCAATTATTTGCATATATATGTATATATATACATGCATATATTCGCAATACTTAATTTATATTGTCATGTTTTCTGTATTATAATATTATGTATCGGGAATAAAACTTCATTTACTTTAACATCGTATCATCTTCATATTGAACTATATATTTATATTTCAAGCCACCAACTTTGTGATAGGCTGTGAGTGGCATATTATTTTTAAGTTTAAGAGAGAAGTATGAAGAACTTTTGAATCCGTCAAATCCATTTATACCATAGAAATATGGTAATCAAAATATGTGATTGTGCAAGTAATATTGTTGCATTAATCGTTAACTGTAATCCTTGTTTTGTTTATAAGATTATGATCATCCCATTATATGCAATATGAAGCTATTATGAAAAAATATATTGGTCTTACTAATGTGCACTGTATTAGATCTGTCATTATTGTTTTGGTGCTTTTTTAAATATTTTATATATACAAGTACATTTTAAATCAGACAATTTCAGGAGATATATATTTGATATTTTTAATATCATTTAATTATATTATCATCTGAATTAAGTGAAAATCCTTTTTTGAAAGAATGTATTATGTTTCAAAATTTTAAAGAATTTTCTTTCCGTTAAAAAAATTATATTTTAACTATATCTACTTTAATATTTCATTATCATTTTTAATTTATACGTTGTGTTTAAATATTAACTTTACGTGTGCTCTCAATACAATTGCTCATGCATTTAAAACAGATATCATGCGCCTGAGAGCTCAGAGGCCTAGATTTTGAGACGTTTAATATGTGGTATATAAATTTTATTACATAAGAAAAGTTACTAATAAAAGTGTTCACGTGGAGTTGTAGAGTGATCTACAATTTTATTAGCACTATATTGTTCAATTGACAAATACTGCACTTCAATATAAATAAATATAAAGATTATTCTTTTCCTCTATTAAGATTGGCCATGAAGATAGAAACAAAATTAATATAAATATAAAGTTGTTATATAAAGGACTGCATGTTAATTATGCAAATGCTACTTCTATAAAACATTTACAATCGAAAAAATAACTATAAAATTTAATTTATGTATGAAACGTATCTGTATTTTATTGAATGTTTGCATTATATTGTGTTATAAGTTTTAATTACTATTTTCTTTTTAAGAATGTATTCTTATATATACTAATAGCATGTATTGTTAATTTCATAAAATTTGTTATTTTCATCATACCATAAAATGCATTGATATTTTACTGCGCCTACAGAGTTAAATCGTTGATTGGATTCAATATGCAAGATCTATGCTAATAGTGTTTGTTACTATTTTGTATTTGAGAATGAATGTGCGATACAATAGTTAACACTCAAGAAACTCATATACTTACTCATCAGCAAGTATATATATCGTTTTAACGAGAATACATATACTAACAATACAATATTTTAGTATTGTAGCTCTCAGGTGCAACTATTGTTATTTGATAATATGTAAGTAACGATTTATAATAAATATTACAACTTGTATTACTACCCATATAATCTATTAAAGAATTAAGTGCATACCCAGTCCTAGTGAAGTCCAATTAATGGGCGACCTACAAAAAAGATATAACATCGAAAGCTATGATAATTTTTAAAATAATATAAACAATTATAACAAGCAAATCATATAAACTTGCTTTAAATCAAATTTTAAGATCTTAATTTAGAATGCTAATTATCTTGCTAAATAAAATACATACAATACAATGAAGTATATGATTCATGAATTACTTATAATCATATGAATCCTAAAGAAATTTGAAATGTTATTACTTACTGTCGGGTTGAAGACGAACAAAAAAATGATTCAATTTTCTTGACAATCGATGATCATCTTGGCCTTCTAGAAAATACATTTTCATTAGTGTTGATCTTCAGAATTGATGAAAGAATTGATTGAAGATTGACGAAAACGAACATTGATGAAAACAGACGATTGATGACAGCTAACTTGCTGTCGAGAAATTAAATTTATTTAAATTACACGCTATTAATTCATATGCATTAAAAATAAAAATCTTTAGTGATATATAAGCGTCAATTTTACGAAAGCGTATTGCGCGCGATCAATAAAATTTATAAGAAACGTATTCAAATAAACGCGCGAAAACGAACACGCGTAACGTTGAAAATTATATTTCATATACATATTCGTGGTAGTAATATAATAATATTAATACAAATATTAATACAAAATAAGTAATAAAAATAATATTAATATTTATTTTTCAAACGTATTATAAATTAAAAATAAAAATAATAGTATCATATTATAAGATAAAACATACATATATGATAATCGAACTTTTATTTTCCGATATGATATACGTAATTTGTATAAAAAGTTCTTGTAAAAATGTATTATTTTTATTGTACATTTTAATATAATAAAATTAATAGCGCGCGTTGTAATAGAAGAAAAAGAAAGATGCTTTTGTATGTGTAAGAATTTCGAAAACAATTACTATATTACGATGCAAAAATACTCTAATTAAACGACTACAAGAGAACATATCAAATAATCTTGGAATTAAATCATCATTTAAATAATGCTATTCAATGAGAATGATTTTCAATAAATATTTTATGAATTTTGGACGCATGCATGAAGAAATGTTTTCTATATGGACATCTAAAACAATATATTGGTGAAATTCTCCAACGAAATCCATATAATTATATCGAACTATAAAAAAAGAAAATGTTATATTATGTCGGGAATTTATTATAAAAAAAATACCTAGTAGTACGTAATTTATTTGAAGTATATTCTTGAAAGTTATATGAAATTTGGTAATCGTCGGAATTTCGATAAAACGTTCATTTATTATCGATTAAATCAAAATCAGAAATTGATTAATAATTTCAATATAAGTAATTATTTGAAATATATAATTAATATGTTGATCGATCTTATTACTTAGAAAAAATGAAACCGGAGAATATATTACAATTTTTAATTACTTCGATATAATACTAATAAAATTTATGGCATTACATATCATATTGCATGTAATAATATATACTAAATTATACTAAAAAGATAATGTATTAAAAAATTGCAAAAGTATTCAATTATTAATTGCCCTGTTGGATCTTGAAATGACGACATCTATTAACGAAATAAATAAATAACATAAGTAAAATAAATCATCCATATGTTGGTAATGTAGTTGATCTATAATTAGTATCGAATAATGCTATAAAAGCTCTTGTGCATCGGATGTTCGGAGATGAATAAAAATTATAGTAAGTAGAAAAATAAATCACATAAGATTTATTGATGAATTAAACATCCAAAGTATAGAACTAAAATAATGAAATCGAGATTGAATATACAATAAAAAATTTTTTTTTTCTGTTTTACAATAATTATGATACTAATGATATTAATGTGTTTTTATAGTTTTCTACATTATAAAATTTTTATGTACAGAAAGCATAATATTATATATTATTAGTAATCCGTTCTAATCATAGAATTTTACAATACTTCGTTCTGTTTACAAAAGAAGCTAAAAGCTATTAAGAGCAAGTGTGATGTGTGTTTATGTATGTATGACTAATGTATTCATTATAAACATTCCTCAAATAACTCTCGCTTTTCATTGACGATACTGGAAGAATAAATTTGGATATCCCTGTTTCTTTATTGGTTATTTTTGTTCGCGGCAAGATAGATCGTTACTTCATAGCCAATAATATCTAAGCAGGATGCAATAGAATTACTTGCTGCTCCTCGGATAACACGACGAACTTGGTACTTGAAAATCGTCCATAGCGCCCTTCTTTCTTTTTTTTAATCATCGATTTTCCGAAGAATACCGATTAGATCCGAGAATGAACGAGACGTCGCTACGTTAATCTGGTATTTTATTCGCGCGAATTGTTTGTCACGTCCGCCCAGTTTAGTAAGATAATTTTATGCATATAAATATGCAGTTGTGTCGTTCGTATCAACGGTCACAGATAGACAGCAATATTTAAGATTTTAATTTTTACTTCGTCAAAAAATTAGTTACAATTCATTCGCCCTGTAAAAAATGTCGGAACTTCGAAAACGAACTGTGGAAGATGCGCCCGCAACTACGCGGGATGTCACTGACGATCAGGTGAAATGTTTTTTTATATTTCTTTTTAGACATAATTCTGCGAACATTTCGAAACAAATAAGCGGACTAATGTATTTATTGATTTTTATTAATTAATTAAATTCTTCCTACTTTTGAAATGTATACGTTCATTTAATTGATTAATATCTATTATTGACAGCTAATAACAGGGACGCGTCAACATTGTTTGCCCCCGCTAGTATGTATATAATCATTTGACATTGGTATATTCCATTGAATGGATTACCCTTTGGCATATTAATGAAATGCCATATTAAAGTATTAATAATGTTTATTTTATTTATGTATTTCCCTTATTTGCTGACAATGTCCAGAAAATGTTTTTTGCGTATTATATTTTAAATTAATATAAAAACAATTTTCTTAATATTGTTAACAGAAGGAAGAAATTGAATCTGAAGATGACGCGAAATTGGAGGTAGAGGATCTTTCTAAAACATTGCCACAAGGAACTCATCATACTCCTCAAATTTTGAATCCTGTTCTTTCTGGTCTTTCAGATCGGTCAGTTTGAACATAATTTTACTTATAATTTTTTATTAAGGATATATTCTTAAACAATTTAAAAAATTTTTTTCAGTTGGAAAAATTGGATTATTAGAAGTATTTCAACGTCTGTAATGATAGCTGTATTTGGTTTTATTATATATGGTGGGCCATTAGTACTTATGATTACGGTAAATATTATTTCTAACAAAATAAACATAATTAATTTGAATGTTATTTCATTATACGTTCATTTATTTTCACAGACATTAATAGTTCAAGTAAAATGTTTTGAAGAAATTATTAATATTGGATATGCAGTATATAGAATTCATGGTTTACCATGGTTTAGATCTTTATCCTGGTATTTTTTGATAACTTCTAATTATTTCTTCTACGGTGAGAATTTAATGGATTACTTTGCAGTTGTGATCAATCAAACGGTAAATGAATTCATTTTATGTATATTTAATTTGATAAAATATATATCTATTATAACCTAAAATAAAATGTTATAAATATACATAAGTTTGGCGCAAAATCAATAAAAGAGCTGCTACAAATAAGATCTATATAATCTTTGTGTGGCTTCTCATACAATTTTATAAGGCTTCCACAGTATGCATTATGTTAATTATATTCGTTAGAAATCAATTATATAAATAAAATTCAAAACAATATAAATTTAAGAATTTAAATATAAGATAATACAATATTAAAAGTAACTTTTTTCTATTTTTAGGAATATTTACGTGTGCTCGTGACATATCACCGATTTATTTCATTCTGTCTATACATCGTTGGTTTTGTTTGGTTTGTACTGTCACTTGTAAAGAAATATTATATGAAACAATTCTCTTTGTTTGCATGGACACATGTTGCACTACTTATAGTAGTGACACAAAGTTATCTTATAATACAAAATATTTTCCAAGGACTTATATGGTAAATTTATTATTTAAAATAATTATTAATTTTTTTTTCTTTTTTTTTTTTTTTTTTTTTTTTTTTTTTTAATAATAGTGTATTAAAGTATTTATTTATTTTTTTATATATTCATTTAGGTTTATCGTACCAGTAAGTATGATAGTTATAAATGATGTTATGGCTTACATGTTTGGTTTCTTCTTTGGAAGGACACCTTTAATAAAATTGTCTCCAAAAAAAACATGGGAAGGTTTTATAGGTGGAGGAATTTCGACAGTTTTCCTTGGATTATTGGTAATAAGAAAACAATTTCTTAATAGTTCGTATAATAATAATATTCATAAGAGAATGATTATCAAAACATTACTATTTTACAGATATCCTATGTTATGTGCCAATATCGCTATTTCATTTGTCCTATTGAATATAGTGAAGCTTTAGGTAGGATGACAATGGATTGTGAACCATCTAGTTTATTTCAACCACAAGAATATAGTTTGCCAAAGAGTTTACAAGTAATTACAAGAATGGTAATATTATCATCGATAAAAGAACCATAACAGAAATTAAAACAGTATAACAATTATATTGTTTCGCAGATCAATGGAAAGGAGACATTGACTTTATACCCCTTTTTACTTCATTCTTTATCAATGTCTATATTTAGTTCTGTGATTGGACCATTTGGAGGATTTTTCGCCAGTGGATTTAAGCGAGCTTTCAAAATTAAGGTAATTCGATTATATAAAATACTGTTATATTTTATTCTGTTTGTTTGTATCATAATACTGATATTAATTACAAACATTACATTATTGAAATATAGGACTTTGGAGATGTAATTCCTGGTCATGGTGGAATAATGGATAGATTTGATTGTCAATATTTAATGGCAACGTTTGTCAATGTTTATATTTCATCATTTATACAAACAGCTTCACCTCAGAAACTTTTACAACAGGTAAAGTGGAACAAATATTGCGCATATTATTATTATTCTGTTTCCATTATTTTGTTTTCTTGTTAATTCTTCCTTGCATTTAATTGTTACATTATTTATATACAAATTATATATAAGTTTTTATGCTTTATAGGTTTATAGTTTAAAACCAGAACAACAATTACAATTATTTCAATCTTTAAAAGATTCATTAGAAAACAGAGGACTTTTAAATATGTATTGATTTAAAAGAATACACATTTCTTAATAATTATTGCAAGAATTTCTATAGCATACAATTAATGTATGAGAGAAATTATTACTGTCATTTCTGTAAATGTCAATCAACAGGATATGCAATCAAATATCAGTAAACGAATATCAGTAAATAAATAGAGATTAGTTAATCTCTGTTACAATCTTATCGATATCGTAGAAAATTGATAAATATGCTATAAAATATTTGCGATTTTTTGTGCATTCCGCATAAGTTAGGCGTAATATTGGAACTGATTATTTCTATGCCTTTTATTAAGAAATGCCATTTTCTTTTCAAAT